CCTCATGCCTCTGTGAGGGGGCACAGGTTCTGGCTCGTGGTCTCCAGTAGGCCTAGAACTCCACCCACATTGACTGATGCAAAGTAGTTAGAGTATCCATATCAGCCATGGATAGCTTCGGGAAGCCTCTAGGACTCGCCCAGAAAATGGCATTTCATTATATTCAACTCTGTTTTGTTTTTTTCTCGGAGGGGGTGCCGGTCCCTTCACCAGTCGCCCCATTGATGGGGGGAAGGTTCGCTCTGTTTGCTCACACCTGGTTCCACAATTCATGGGTGTTCGGATCATGTCCTCCGGCCTGTGGTGGCATTGAGCGGCTCTTCCTCCTTCGGGAGGTTCGAGGCTATGGTAGGGGAAGGCGGGGGGCTTCTTCCCATGTGCTCCATCGGTGTCATCTTAGAGTGGGTGCACTTGGGTGTTGTCGACTTGACCCTATCCCTCAGGTGTGGGTTCCCGCCTACTCCAGTGCTGAAACAGGACTATGCGGATCTGCGGTTCATTCTGGACTTGTCCCGTCTGAACCCCTGGATTCCTTGCCCCTCTTTTCGGATGACTGCTGGCTTAGGTCCAGCTTCTGTTGGAGCCGAGTGCCTGGATGGGGTCCCTGGACCTCAGGGGCGTGTATTGGCGCATTCCTATTCAACCGGGTTCAGGGACTGGATAGGTTCTTTTTGGGGTGTCCGGCTTACTGCTTTTGTTGCCTTCCTTTTGGCTCACATCTGGCACCTTGCATGTTCATGAATCTTTCCCGGGTCATGGTGACCCTTCTGCATCTGCTACAGGTTTGGGTTCTGGCCTACCTCGACAACTGATTGGTGTGGGCTCCCAGCCGGTCTGCTTGTCTGCTCACCAGGGGTGTGGTTCTTTCCCAGTTCGCTGGGTTCGGACCTGGCTAGGTTTCGTTGGGATTCTCGGTACGCTTCCATGTCTCTCTCTCCGGAGGCATTGCTATGGCAGCAGTCCCGCCTTCTGCTGTATCTGGGGGGAGGGTGGTCCTGAGTATTTGGGGTTCAGTGCCTTGGCGCCTACCCGAGCCCTCCCTCAATGTGTTCACGGACGCATCGTCCCTCGGCTGGGGCTTTGTGACCAGTGCTCACCAGGCCAGCCAGGGGAAGTGGGGTTCATCTTTCTGTCGGGCTCACAGCACAGTACAGGAGTTCACAGCAGTTTTGCTGTCGGGTTTGGGTCGCTTGGAGTTCGTCGATCCGGCTCCATTCTGACTGTTCCCCAGTTGTTCATTGCCTGACCTGCAGGGGTACTCTTCGGTCCTTGCTCTTTAGGGCAGGTTGCTTTGAGTGGCTCGTCTGCTGGCTTCTCAAGGTTTGACTCTCCGTGCGGTTTATATCCAGGAAGTGTCCAATGTCCTGATGGATGGCTTGTCTCTGTTCATTCCCCTGTCCGCAGAATGAATGGTCAATGCCAACTCCTTCAGTTGGCTCTGCCGGATGTACAGACTCTTGGAAGTGGACCTCTTCACATCAGCGTGGTCTCGGCGTCTCCCAATATGTGGCGCCTTCCATGACTGCAAGGCTTTTGTAGTGGATGCCTTTTGGTGTGACTGGTCAAGGAGAGGTTACCTGTACCTCTTCGGTTCAAGATTGTTTTTCCAAGGGTTGTGGTTTTGTTTCTGTTGACATTGGCCTCTGGGGGTCTGGTTGGTGAGTTTCATGCTCTCATCCGGTGCAGGGTTTTCAGGTCCTTCGGTCCTGGTAGTCGGTTTGTTCAGTTGCAGCCTTCTCCTTCTTTTCTGGCAAAGATTGAGGTGGCTGCTTTCTGGAGAGGTCCTTGGGTTATTGATGCTTAGTTGGTTTGCCTGGGGGTGCTTCTTGTCTTGTGTTCAGTTGTGGCTCTTCGCCGTTACCTGCACGCTTTGGGTTGATATGGTTTCCCTTGTTCCCTGTTCCAGGGCTTGGGTCTCCCAGGTTGTCTGCAGGGTTATTTAAGTCTAGCCAGCCTGCAGTCTATCCTTGTGCCCTATAACGTTAAGTTTGCTGCATTGGCTGCCATGTTTGGCAACATGTCTTGGGCTGATATTCAGGCACAGGGATCTTGGAGGTCGAACAGGGTCCTGGCCACCAGATATTCAGTTAACGTTCCTGGGCGTTCTAGTGTTGCTTTGGGTTGCAGGTTGCAGCCAGTTGTCTCGACTTTGAGTTAGGGGGTGTAGCGGCCGCCTCCACTAATGGTTCCTGGGTGGGATGCTTTGTGGACTGTGTCCTTGGTCACCTTGTTCCAGAATCGATTGTTCCCTGTGCAGTGTCATGAGGTTTAGCTAGCCTGCAGTCTCCCCTTGGGCCATGATGTTTATAAGATTGTGGCTCTGTCTGCAGTATACTCAAACATGTCCTGGAATGCTATTTGGGCTCGTGGGCTTTGGTAGTCCAACAGTATGTTAGCAGCTTGGTACCTCGTTAATATTTCTGGTCTGTGCCGAGAATTACTGTCTTCTGCTTTCCTCTGCACCTGGTGAGTTTCCCTTGTGTTTTGTTATCTGCTGTGGCATAGCAGTGCTGGTTTTCTAGGATGACTTCTATGGTGGCCTCTACCATAGGAACCCTCCCAGAAAACCAGCATTGAATGTAATGATATGCCTCTTTCTAGTGGGTCCTTTTTGGCTCCCACGTTCCTTCCCTTCCCTTTCAAGGTTTCTGTTTTTAAGCTTTCTGGCTCAATGAGTGGCTAGTTGGCTGGTTGATCCAGTAGCTGAACACGTGACTACTTCATGGTGGGCAGCTAACAATCTGGTGGATTGCTTCGGGGTCTTGTTTCCTGTATTGTGTTTACTTTGCTGTTATTTGTTTTGTTTCCCCTTACCTTTCTGGTAACCTTTTCGTGGTCTGAGTGAAATAGTATCTTCAGTTCCCTGCACCTCTGAAAAGACTGTTTTTGCCTCTGGTTCCCAGAAGATTAATATTACTTGCAAGAGGCTTGTGTGATTCAAATTGGGTGGAACTACCCAAGTTGTTAGCAACAGGAAGTCAGCAAGGACCCGTCCAGAAGGAAAGTTTCATTACATTCAAGGCTGGTCCATAAGAAGTGCTTTGGGAGTAAATCCACTTTTTGTGATCTTCCACAACCAAACTAAAGCACCTAAAAAATTTTGAAAAAAAAAAAAAAATGTATAGCAACCCCCAAAAATGCAGAAATTGAAGGGTTAAGCATTCCAGTACATATCGGTAATTATTTGTTGAATTTGGATGTATCTGGTACTTAAGGCAAATTCAATGTAATAAGTCTCGATTTCACTTATGATTAATTATTAGTGAAGAAAATAGCATGAAATCTTATCAGCATGATGCTCATGTTAATAGGTCTTGAAATCTTGGCAAAAGAAGACACTGAGTGATCGAGCCAACACAAGTCTGCACGTGCACTCTCAAACTGCATCCTACATTTTTGTATTGTGTTAACCGTGCTTTTGTTTGTTTGTTCAAAGCCGCCCATTACATAAGAAAAGTACAGTACAGTGATACCTCGGTTTAAGAGTTTAATCCGTTCCTGGAGATGGCTCGTATTCCGAAGCTAATTTTCCCATAAGAAATAATGGGAAATGAATTAATCCGTTCCTGACTACCCAAAAACCTCACTTCAAAGTAAATTTTATACCTAATTCATCTAAATAAACCTACAAAACTATGTTCAAGTTATTACTTACCCTTGCTGATGAATGCTGTTGGTGTATGGAAGATGATGAGGAGAGAGGAAGGAGAAGAGGTGTTACTGTTTGGAAGGGGAGTCCCCTTCCATTATAACATCAGGCAGTGAGGACTTCACTGGTGTGAACACTCTGGCACGTTTTGCTTGCATACCACTAAGACTTGCTTGTCTTACTAAGAATCTGTCTAAAGACACTTGTTTTTGCCTACATTTTAATACTTGTCTGTAGTAAGACATCACATTGTCATTTAAAAAGAGTCAATGCAACGGCCTGCTACAGCTTTATCTGGGTGAGTTTTTTCAACAAAACTTTGCAATTTTTCCCATACTTCACACATTTTCTTAACACTTTAGTGTAATCATGGCGCTCAAGAGCGTTACCACTTTTTGTGTTGAGGTCGCACAGCGGATTCGCTCACGAGTCACGAGAAAAAATATTTCTATGAACTCTATTCGTTATGCGATCGACTTTGGGATAGTTTGAAAATGTTCGCCGTTTTCTTTAATAGCCGCATAGCCTATTTGGGAGAATGGCATAGCATTGCACCATCGAAGTAAGACCATTGTATTGTTGACACAACAAGTGTAATCGACGTAGTTTTTTATTTGGTGCCGGTCTAATGCATCCTTGTGTGACATTTTATACTTATGTTCTTCTAGAACATTCTATTGCGAACACATTGGTACAACAATAAAATACGTACATTGAAAATTAATGTCAAAACAGTGAAAAGAATATACACTTTTCAATAGGAGTTTCACCGATGTGCTGTCACGGGTAACACTTCGGCCACTTCCCACACTCTTGCGGGTGGGCTGCGACATTGATTCTACATTTATATGCATATGTCCGTGTAGGGAATTTTATTGCGATCTCAGTGATACCAAATTTAACGCTGTAGGACAAGTGTGGAGTTGACAACCCTGAAAAGAGTAGAAACATTTCATGTTAGGACAGTGAAAAGAGTATACACTTTTTAGTGTTGCCGCTCGATCGCCCGAAACGCCGCATTATTTTCTTAGGCTGAACCTTACCACTGGCTTTCTTGGGACCCATGGCGAGATATATAACAAAAACTTTTATGCTCAAATGGCCAAAAATCCGACAATCCAACAAGGTACTGGTAAACTGAGGCGCGATCGCCGTGCTAGTTGGCCTGTATGCGTATCAACACCCTCGTCTTCCGAGGCAACCCTCGCCTTCGAGGCAAATTTTCCGAGCAAATCCTGCTCGTATTCCGAAAAATTAGTATACAGGGACACTCGTATTCCGAGGTACCACTGTACTTACAATTGTTACATTTACTGTATGTACAAATAATGTTTTTTTAACACATTTGCAGATCCAAAGGCCATTCTGAAGGTGACTCAGCACGGAAATCCTCAGAACGTGAGGCTGGCGAGGTCAGCTTAGAGGAGGGCGAACTGAGTGAAGACGAGTTGGAAAAGAAGAGGGAGCAGCTGATGAAAGAACTTGAAAATATTAACTAATGATATTATTGGCATGGAAATGTTTAGTTCAATCTTTGAAAAATGCTGTATGTTGAAGGTCTTGCAAAATGAAACCTTAATCCATTTGTGAAAAAGAACTTGTGATTATTGTTCAAAGAAAGCAGGTTAAAATAAAATTTGTTTCAATTGAGGAACATTGTGCACAGTCCATTCAATTAACAAAATGCTGTGTGTTTAGAAAACGCCATCATTTTTCTACCCTGCTCAAAGCAGTCTTCACGCTGAAATCATTTGTTTGCAAGTTGATTTGGTACTAGTAAGCATAACATTCAAAGTCTTCACAACATACATTGCTACTCTGTAACATTTAATCAAATTTTGTTAAATAAAATTATTAATGAAAAATTTGTATTTTTTATTTTGAAAACAGGTTAAATTCACGAATGATATTTAATGTGTTACAACAGTATTTAATACACTTTTACAGAAAATTACAGACAACAAATATTTAGGCACAGTTGCATGTGTAATTATCTGTCAGTCATTAAGAAAGAATTCATGACTGATGTTATCATACACAAATAAGCAATAAGCATAATTATTCCAAAACATCATGCTTATCTTTAAATGAGAAATAAACTTAACTGGATGTTCATATCCCTACATTTGCAGGCTGTGAATAAATTTTAGCATCTTGAACCAGTCTAATTCTTTGGATATTTTAGTACTTGAATAAAAGTCAGCAGACTGTGCTGGTTGATGATGTATCATCTGCCAGTAATCTTTAACATCAGTGGAATTTTGGAATGCAGTGAATTTTTGTAATAGGTAATGAAATTTCTGAGGTTATTACTCTCCATGGATCTTGCAATTTCATAGGAATTATGAATGCATTTTTGGATTTTATTTGGTGTAGTTTAGTACTGTTTTATCAATTTTCAAATAGTATTAATCTGCAAAGAATGACAGAAAATACATGAATGTTTCCTTTTAGGAAGTATGTGGAATAAATATTTAAGAGAAGAATGAATGTGGAGCAAGCTTATTTATTACAGTGTATTACAGTGTATACACATTGGCTTAAATGGTGTTTACAGATGAAAAAGAACGATTCATATTAACAGTATCTGCTCAAAATATAACATTGTCCAAGTTGGGAATAGGTGTCCAGTTGAGTGAGTTAAACATTGGTTTCAAATGTATTTTGTGCGCTTGTGTTAATATTTCACAGCTGCACCCTTGAATCCACATACTTTTTTTGGTTATCTTATCATTAGCATACCTTCTTGACTTATATTGGTCCTTAGTTATTGCTGTATCATTTGCTATTGATGGTCTCAGTCTATTGCCATCCAAGTTGCCCTCTTAGATAAAGGCTAATATCATTAGTTAAGCAAAGTCACCATTTAATTTGTAAGTCACTTAAGATACTACAGTATTTATGGTTTTATTGTCTACACAGGATGAGAAATTTATCTTTGTAGTTTGTTTTCAGTTATGTATAGTTATAGAGTGTATTAGTTGATGAAGGATTGTCCTGCCGTGTTGCTGCTAACAAGTTAGATTATGAAGTATTGGTCATAAACAAGTACAGTATTTGAAACAACGCTTTAAAGTGAGTAAGTGCAGCCAGCAGAGCATTTCTACAAGCGAGGGTTAAGATGTGGTATGAGCCGCTCCATTGTCACTTTATGTAGATTTAAAATTTACCTATTTTGAGATTTGCTTTTTTAACTGCTATTTGTAATGACAATGACTATCTAAATTTTGTAGTTTTCTCTCCAAATTTATAAAGTATATTCCTGAAGTGGGATCTCTTGCAGAGTTTGAAAGTGCTTATAAAAACTGTACACTATTTACAACTTCATTATGATTTTAAACGATGAGAACATTTTTTCTGTCTAGTAATCATTGTAATAATAAGAAAGCTACTGTAAAGTTTTGTAACAGAATTTTGTAAGTATTGTGTAAATATTTCACAAATGGTGATATATCCCACAAATTTCCCTACATATATGCACAAACTAAATATTGTTTCTCAATTATGTTGTAGATTATTTAATTGACCTTGTTTATAATAATACAAGTATTGATCATAACATGAGTTAGGTTATGAAATGTAGACATTTATATAGGCAAATCTTATCGAGAACTTTTAACAAATGATTAATTCTGTCGTATAGTTTGTGAATATTTTTCCGTCGTCGTCTTAGTTCATATTTCAACTATGGTGGACTGTAAATTGAATCTATATATTGCAATTAGATTCTAGAGAACAAGTGATGAATGTCATGGTATATAAACTGCTCAGTTGAACACTGTAACCATTTTTTTTTTTTAATAAACTTGGCAGGTTTGCTCATAAAATATAATTTATGCTACATTATTGGTTTGGGTCTCATTTTCTTGTTTATTTACATTTTTGTGTAGGTGAATGCCATTTTTTGTGCTGAAACATATATTTTTTAATAAGCATTAAAATTACTTAAAAAAATTACTGAAATGCTATGTAAGTTTTGTCATAAAATTATGGGTCATGCTTTTCAGTAAACATGGTACAATATGAAATGGATATTTTACTTTCATTTATTGCTTAACATTAAGGATATAATATTATAACAATATAATTATTACTGTAGTTGATGACAGCCACACTAATATTTGCATAATAAATGTAGCGTTAATTTTTATTTAATTAATTTATTTAGTTATTTAATGGAATTTTAATTTTATTCTATTTTATTATAGTATTTTAGTATTTTATTTTATTTTTAATTTTGTAATTTTATTTCTTTTATATTAAATTAAATTAAATTTTATTTATTATGAGGTGATATGGTGGTGCGGCTGTACCGGGCAGATGGAATGTGGTGTACATACATAATATTTGCCTTGGAAAGGGATGCGAGGGACAGGAAAATAGGCAAGTACAAAGTCTCCCACTTTAAATTTTACTACATTAGATTGTTTATCAAACTGTACTTTCATTTTATTTTGATAGGTTACCAAATTAGCATGAGCAAACTTCTGAATATGTTCAAGCTTATGTCTCAAGTTTTGAGGAAACTGAGAGATATTGAGGGAATCACTGAAATGTTAGAATTTAATGAGTCTTTGAAAGCTTTAAGGCAATCACGGCACTTACTGCCGTAGAGCGTCTCATAAGAAGATACTCCAAGGAATTCATTGGGAAGGCTTTTGAAAATAAGCATGTGGTCTAATTGAGTATCCCAATTTTTCTTAGTACTGATATAAAAATTCTTTAGCAATGACTTTATGGTCGGATAACTACGTTCTAGAGATCCTGGTGAAGCAGGATGATATGGGCTAGACAAGACTTGAGGGATATTAAATTCCTGAAGGATTTTCTTGAACAAGTCATTGGTGAAATTGGTTCCACAGTCACTTGGATTTTCTTTTGGGAATCCATATTGAGTACAAAGTCAGTAAGTGTTTTATAACAGCAGAAGCAGTAATGTTCTTGACAGGCTGTTGACTGTTGATTATTAAGAATCTAGTGGTTGGACACATGGTGATAATATACTGATTTCCTGACTTTGATCTTGGTAATGGTCCTACATAATCAATGATCAACTTAGAAAAAGGTTTTGTAGGAACAAAGATTGGTATGAGTAGTGTCTTAGATATGGGAACATTAGGTTTGCCCGCAAGTTGGCATGTATGACGTGTATTAACAAAGGTCTTGACATTGTGAGCCATGCCTGGCAAAGAATAATTCTGGAGGAGCATTATTTATAAGTCTTATGCCATAATGAGACATTGGGCCATGAGCTAAATTCAAGATGTCTGATCTGAGGGATGTTGGTGCCACTAACTGATTCATGTCTGCCCAGTCATCCTCTGCCTTGAGCTTAATGGGGCGAAATTTACATTAGAGCAATTGATTTTCAATGGTATAAAATCTTAGAATAGAATCTGTTTTAATATGGGCTTGGTAGAATAATGGTTTTAAAGAAATATCAGACTGTTGTAACTCACAGAACTCCAACAGGTTGAAATTCAGTGGGAGGCTTTGCAAGTGTTGAGGGACAGCTGCTGCTACTGGTGGTTGCTGGGTGGCTTGGGTACAGGTAGTCACTAAAACAAGCTTGGAGTTATCTGCTGATTCCTGTCATCTTAACCTCTTCTGCTGCATAAGTCATGGCAGGGTCTGCCTCTTTTAAGGCCAATTAACATACCTCAGGCTTGTTGTAGATGATAAGATTGGTAGAGTCTTGTTGGTTGGACAAGACGTTGCCCAGGAGAAGTTGAATTTCTGGCAGGGGAAAAGGATTTTCCCAAATGGCGACTTGGACTTCTCCACTGATGTACGGACAATTCAGGTGAATTGTGGCTAGCGGGTAAGGTGTGGTGGCTGTGAGGTCGATGATCAGAACTGTTTCTCCAGCGAAGATGACTTTAGATGCAGCTGTTCTCAGCAGAATAGTTTGCAGTGAAGCTGTGTCCCTCAAGTTACTTATAGGGACCTTTTCATCAGAATCTCTACCTTTGGCAGAGACAGTTCCTTGGCACACATGTCTGTCAAATAAAGTAAGATCAGTGACTGGAACATTTACATGTAATACAGGTTTATTAGGCTTGGGAGGTTGAGGTTTAGGCTTCTATGGATCAGTATTGGTTCTACAATGAGGATTAAGACACCTCTCTGGTATGTCCATAAGTTTTGCAGTACCTGCAGTAAAGTGCATAGTTAGTGTCCTTTGAGCTGACTTTAGATGGATAATAGTTAGACCAAGATGGCTTAATTTAATAAGTACAGTATCAAAAGATTTGTGCATGAGACTATAGGTGTCAGCTATGCACACCTACTGAGATTCGTCTCTCCCTTATCTGCAAGATATAGGCGCACAGGATTAGGAATCCCTGTACATCGCATGAATTCTTCCATGAGAATAAGATTTACTAAAGTATCAAATGTATTTACCTGAGCTAATTCTATTTGAATTTACCTGAGCTAATTCTAATTCTTGTGTAAGTACCTACTTTTGTTTTGCTTGAACTCGTAGAGGTCTGACTAGTATTTTTCACACAGTCCCTGAAGCATCAGCGATAACTTTCTGCGGACACAAGGTAGGCATCAAGGACAGCTCGTTTCAACACATCGTAATCCGTTTCGGTTGCAAGAGTACCGAGTGTCAAAGTGGCTCTTCCAGTGAGATGAGTTCGGAGAAGTACTGACCATTGGTTCCTAGACCTTTTGTAGCTTGGATGCAAGAGTTTCAAACGATGTAAAAAATGAGTCGACCTCTACTCAACATAAGGTAGCATCATTTTAATATGTACAGTGTGAAGAGTCAAAACATACCAGCAAGCTGACTTCAGCTTGCTGTTGCTTCTGTATGTGTGTGGTTTTGAGTCCCAACTTCTGACGTCGGAAGTCAAGAATGGCAGCTGCCTTCTCTCGTTCTACACGTATTGTTATTTCAGCTTCATGTTATTCTTTTCGTTGTTTGAGTTCAATTTCTTGGGCTAGAAGCTGGAGTTGTTTTTTTATCTCTCTGACATCGTAGTGTAGCTTCTTGTTCTTTGAGCTGGAGTTTCTCTCATTCACATTGATGTTCTAGTTCATCTTTTGTCTTCTTATTTCCTGTTTTCTTTCATCGGCAGCTGCTTCTAATCGGGCTATCTTGAGTTATCTTGAGTTATCTTGAGATGATTTCGGGGCTTTAGTGTCCCCGCGGCCCGGTCCTCGACCAGGCCTCCACCCCCAGGAAGCAGCCTGTGACAGCTGACTAACACCCAGGTACCTATTTTACTGCTAGGTAACAGGGGCATAGGGTGAAAGAAACTCTGCCCATTGTTTCTCGCCGGTGCCTGGGATCGAACCCAGGACCACAGGATCACAAGTCCAGCGTGCTGTCCGCTCGGCCGACCGGCTAGTTCTATCTTCATTTTCATGGGAGCTATGGCAGATTTGTCGGCAACTTGATAGTGTTCCAACTGTTCTAAAGTGATGAGATCGTTATCAGCTAGATAATCGAGTATCAGATTGTGTCAGACTTGTTGGCACCATGTGGCACAGTGAGCTGATGCTCTGAGGTTAATATAGTAACTCAGCTCTAGTAGCACACACTAAATTCTCAAGTTCCTCCTCTACATTGGAACGAAATGCAGCTAAGCAAAGCATGATGAATATTATAGGATAAGTGCTATAAGAATTAGTGAAAGAATTCACTCATATCCTGTAGGTGAAACAATAAGTGATGTATACAAGAGTGACTTATAAGCGCTGTGGCAACATGCTCAAGAATAATTGTTAAAGAACTGGCAACACTGTAAGTACATAATTATCATGTATGGTAATACAACAAATAACAATAACAGTTTAATGGAAATTAAACTAAGTCATTTGACTTTAGTAAGGACTTGATGAAACAAAGTAAATGAGTGTTTCGAAGGTGTAAAATTGAGAGATACATGTAGGGATGTCTGTACCTGGCACTTTAGTGAATATTCTCTACTACTGAGGATAAGGGCAAGAGGTTTCCTACTGGAGTTGAGAAAATTAACTAGAATTTACCATTCCTTGTACTCTGTGAAAGAATAGAAAAATCCCGACCTGAGCAGTTAATCACGGACTTTGAACGAAGGCATAGGAGTGTGGACAATATCAGCACTGTGACGAGGCTTTGAGTTCGTATCCCTAAGCACGGATGAGAATGGAACTTTGGCTCAATACTTCCTCCTAATTTCGTAATGCAAAGTAGAACCATATTTCAGAGACAAACCAAAGTACAAGATAAGTACCAAAGGGGGTGATCTGTCTAGGTGCGTCACTTCAGCTGGAAGAAAATTATTATAGGCAAACAAGGTACAACAACAGCTTAAAAGATTAACAATTATGAGCATGAAGTTGCACATGAAACATCACATAACCACAAGTCAATCTAATAAACATATCACAAAATGCTTCACCTGAAAAGATTCTTAGTCACCAATATGAGATTTACCTTAAAATTAATACTTAAAAAGTCAAATACAGTATGTGTAATGTGTATAACAAATTGAGTAAAACCTAATGTGAAGGTAAAAGCTCCCGGACAGGCTGTAACACCATTAAGGTGTTTAGTAATATTTTACATAGAACATGAGTCAGTCAGACAGGACATTGAAAAGCGCCAAGTTGTCTGGCTTTAGCAATTACAACGTCACACCTATAAGTGTTAATGACCACAAGTTGACCAGGAGTCTGGTCGTGTCATTTGATCTTGCCTTCCGCTAAGCCGATAATTGTAGACGGTTGGTGGTGTCTTTCCATCAAACAAGCCGCTGTTTAAGGTGTGGTAGGTAGAGAGCCTGAGGCTATCTACTTAGTAGGTGGAGCTTAACTCCTGGTTTCCCCATAAATACCCAGGGAACTGTACATTAATGAGGATAAATCAGATAAGCACAGAGGACCGAAGATTGAGCAGGAGCGAGCCCGCAGCCAGTCCTGGCTGTCAGGCCGGGTGGGGACTCTGTCAATCGAGCCCCCCCCCCCCCCTCCCTCTCTCTATCCAACTTAGGCTCAAAGACCTTGGTGAGTTGACCTCTAAGGTGACAAATTT